TTTGAAAGTTTTGTTGCATCATTTAAGTAATGACAGCTCAGGAGGCCTGACTTCCTGAAACAATGGCAGTTGGTTGGAGTATTGCGATTCCGCAGTATGAGATTGTGGACATTTTCGGCGTAAGTTTCAGAACAGTTTAGGAACCGATACACAGAACTGAAATTTCTATCACTGTTTATGGTTGTCTGGTACTTGGCATTTCGTTGGAGGTGTGTGTTATGGGTGGGGAGGAAGGAGCCTTTAGTACGAGGCACCTTTTGGGCCTAAAGTCTTTCTGTCTATGGCCCGCTCTGACAAGTCCCTCCAGAACCATGGCTCACAGCCCAAAATCTTTCCTTAACCACCAATGACGCACAAGCGGCGGCTGCCAACACTTAATAGAGGCTTTTCATATTTTTACCCATGTCTATGTCTTTCATTTAAACCTGAACTGTTAATATTGCTTGGCTATTCTTTCTACTGCTGCTTCTTAAGTGTTAGCTGAGGGTGTTAGCTCTTACAACTACAATAGTTGAAAGGGTATTATAAAACATCTCATGAGAACATTGCGTGCGTCACCCTGACAAACAAATCTCCCTTCACGCAAACGTTTTCAAGTTTTCACGTTAAGACGTCAAGACTTTTTTTACAGCTAGCATTTATAAACAATTAAGCTTTCCACTTATGTAAACCAATGATATGTGTGTGAACAGGAAGTGAAGATTGATCCTTTATAATCAGAACTTGGCAGAAAACCACCTGTAAAAATGTAGATTCTTCTGAAAAAGTCGCCCTCACAAGTAGAAAATGGTTTTTGGATTGAGTTACTGGGACACAGGCCATCATCTTTATATAAACTGATAACATTCAGGCTGTTTATTCATGCTTCTGAGATCAATTTGATGGTGACCTGCCGGCCTGGTGATAGAAACACCAAGGTCTTTAGTTAGCAAATTGCGACAGCTAACTGAAACTGTACCTTTTCTTTTATTGAAATGTTCTCTGTGTTTTTTGTTTTTTCAGGTATATGACTGCTCTTACAGACTCTGAGGATGAAGAGCTAAGTGATGAAGAACAGAGGGAGGAAGAACAGCCTGCGGACAAGTTATCGATTCTCCTTGAGAGGATCGACTCTTTGCACCATGGCACTGAATCTGAAAAAAGAGAGAGTCTCAACATACTTTTGGGGCACAGAGAGGAGGAGGTTAAATTGCTTTTTAACTGATTATATTCAGTTCATAGAGGTTTCTGTGTTTTAACACTTGATGTATTGTACCTATGTAGTTTGGACAGAACTCGATGCTTCTCTGGCGGCTGGTCCGAGCTTACTGTGATGTTCATGATGTCAGTGCCACTCTAGAGGAAAAGAAGACCATTGCACAAACTGGTAATTTACCAAACTACTTAATTTAATTGCTCATTTACCAAGCATGTGATGTGACTAGATGTGAGCAGAGCAGGATGTGACTCAGGATCTGACCTAGATGTGAGGTGATACTTTATATTGTCACAACCACAGCTCTACAAGACAAACCTCAAATGACAGTGTCTCATAACGAAACTCACATCCATGCAATCCTGCGGTGACCTTGGTCAGCTGGTTTTAGTCGGTGACCCACAATGAATTTGCAGAAACAATGTTGGTAAGTGTTGACCAAACTAGGACATTACCCATGGTAATATCCCACAGTGGATCAGATATGATTAACTGCGAGTGTTATCTTTACGTGTTGCACCGTCAATTTGGTAGAAAGAGAAATCTATAAAAATCTATATATAGGCTACCTGATTTCATTGCATAAATATCACCACTATTGAAACCAAGTGCCACCATAAGAAAAGTATTTAGCTGTCACCTTTTGACCCACTGATATTGTCAAGTCAAAGGTCAAAACAAAACCAAACCACATCATAGTAGCTATTTTAAATTATAGCCTAGTGCGTGTGAATTAAAGGGTCACCTGTGAGCACTCTGCAACAAATTCAGATTGAGATTTTAAACTCCTCTTTACAAGGTGCAGCCTTTTGCAGTCGGTAATTAAAGTTGATGGTCTAGAGGACTGTGGAGAAATCTATGTTTGTCAGTCAGTAAAAGGCAGAGATTTACTAATCATTCATCTAGTGTAGTCAGAGACAGATCTTTTAAAGCAGCCCACAGAGTATAACATACACTGAGCTTTTGAGATTGTTAGGTCTTGGTAAACTATTAAGCACTGAACTGTTTTTCTTTACAGAATGTCTTTTCCACACACCATAAATAGGTATTGGATAAACCATATAGTCTTTAGGTCAACTTCTTGAATACAAAACATATTTCTGCTACCGACCCTTTAACCTAACCCTTTAGGTTATAATGACTATGCACTTGTCTTGTGTTACACTACTGTGTGCAGTGGACAGTAATGCTTTTATTGCATTAACAGCGGATGGTTTGTGATTCTGCACTTGTGAGGTTCAGACTGGATTTACCTGTTTCTCTGTGATCCTTCCTCATCAATGAGCCACTTCAGAGCAGGCCAGGTGCCTCCTGCAAAGACACCTTTGTCAAAGCATCCGACATTGTTGGACATGTGGATATTTAAAGCAACCGGGCATCATATTTAACATTCATTCAGATGTTAATAGAGCAGATGGAATGAGACACTTCCCACTGAGTGATGAAGGATTTAAAACTGTTCCTTCTTCCTGGAATGCATTTCATATCTCTTCTGTTATTATTCTTTTAATCCAGCGCCTGGTGATGTTTCTTGATTTATGCACTCTATATCCTGTTGTGTTTTCTCAGGTAACACACCCTTTGACTCCACAAATTCATGCTCCTCTTTTGTCATGTAAACAAGAATGCCCGGAGTGAATTGTGTGCATTTAATTTGTGTTTCAGCCGAGTATCATTGTATGTCTATCTTTCGGTTTCTCTCAGGGAAGAAAGTTGGTGAGGAGGCGGTGAGCCTGAACCCCACATGTGCTGACAGTCATCGGTGGTACGTTTGAGCTGTTTCCCTCCTTCCTTCATTTTATCATTTAACAGCTGCTTTTTTTCCTTTTCACTTAAGTCTTTCCAGCTGCCATTTCAAAAGCAAATCAGTCAAGCATACTTGATAATACATTTTGATGGCATGTGACTTGCTGTCATTTAGCTCCATTATGGGAATCACTGATGTTTGAATTAGACAGAATAAAAGCATAAAACTGGTACTTTCCCTAGTTAAGAGGTCTGGGGGGGCTGTAATTTTGAGTGATATGTCTGCCTGGAGCAACTGTTCCTCTGTGTTTGACTGGATCGTGGACTTGTGCTTTTCTTAGGGAGTTTAGCAAACGAACAAAAGTAAACTCTGAGAAAGCCCACATGGGTAGATGACAGAGCTACTTAAAAGTACATTATGGTCTTTTACACTTTGGGGCAAACCAAGACAGACCAACATATAAAAAGAAAGTTGCATATTTCTTCAAATAAGAGGGAAAATGGTGTTTTCAGCAGAGCATTGCTACATGCTTTGCAGACGTGCATATTTCTGAGATAATAGCAGCTTGCCTCCCAAACAACTCTGTCCTGCAGATCACCCCCTCCTCCAGCCGATAGCATCAGATCAACTTCCAGGAATGTAAACAAAGCCTAGGTAACCTTCGTTCAGATAGACTGACAGTTGCACAGGAATAATGCATGTAATTAATGGTCCTCTGTTATTGCACAAGCTGTGCATATTTACAGCTTTACATATATAGTGTTTAAGGTTACTCTGGTGATACCCTGTGTCCAGATCATAATGTATGTTTGTATTTAATGTGGAGTCATCTTGTAGCTGTGCTTTATTGTAAGACTTGTCCTGATATTACTAAAAAGGTATCTTAAAAGTGGTTTTGGTTGTAGCTAGTGCAGCGAATAACAGATTTCTATGTGTGGACCTTCTTATAAAACTAAGTTAAGGGAAATTTTGCAGCCTCAAGCCATTCTCAGACAAATTAAATGAGTTGAGCCTCTTCTCCCCTGGTTTATCTCCCCCAATTGCTCAGCGACTCAGGGAAAACTCTTGCTTTTAATTATCTGTTCAGAGCCGTGCATCAGAGCTGGTGAGATGAATCCCGTTTGCGTTAGTGCAGGGCCACATTGGTGCATTCCCCTTCTGAAACACTGCTCATGTCAAAACTTGACTGCTGATCAAACATGGAATCCCTGGCTTGAATAGAGAGATGATGATTGCACCAGATGCAAGTCTGAGCTCTGATTTGAAGACAACTGCAAAGTCTGCTCCCAATACAGCTTCAATAGAATGATAAAAGGCAGCTTTAACTTGCAGTAGCTCTGTGTACCTCATGTTCAACATTGCGCCTGGAAATATGAACCGCTAACATTGGTGTGTTTGCATGTTTATATGATAGATCTCCAAAGTGTACGTATTTGTTACCGGTACATTCCCTGATTTAGTGTCCTGTGTAACTGAGATCATGTGGCTACTTTCTGTATGCTTGCGTGTGAAGATTTCTCCTGGCAAACAGACCGAAACTGGCTGCTCGAGCCAGCAGCCCTGTTTGCTCTGTTCATTAGGGGATAATTAGTATTAGCTCATACACATACCTCAGCACTTGAGACGTCAAGTGAAATAGAAGGCCGTGTTTGTTTAGTTAATTAAGAGCAACAGCTTTAAAAAAGCTTAATGCTTAATCCTATATCCACTAATGGAATTTGTAAGATTCTTAAACCGAGCAGAAACACTGTCTAAGTTGAATGGACAGGGCAAAGTAGGTAAAGCCGCACTTTAAGAAGGGAGGAGGCAGGGACTGGGGACGGTGCCAGGCAGTGTTGCAAGGAAGTTTATGTCTGAGGTAACTGTTTACTTAGTCTTCCAACGCCGTGAGAAAAGTTATCACCTGTTTCCCAGAATGCCGCCCAGCTTGTCACAATATGACAGATGTTGTTAAGATGCGCCTCAAGTTGGTTTCTGCTCTGCCACTGAAACTACTTGTATAGACTTTCAGTGACTGATGCACAACTAGCTCTGACCAGTTATTGTCATAATTTACCAATTTTACACAGTTCATTAACAACCTCACACATCATGTTATATGAGCCTTCTGGCTCAGTCTTCATGCCACGGTACCACAAAGCTGGCTAAAATCCTAAAAGGCAGTTGTAATTAGAGTTTTTTTATGTGAGCCTGATGTATTAAACCAGTTTTAAATTACGCAAAGTGTCTCATTAGTGTTCATGACCTGAATAATTAATTTTATATCCCATTTGATCTTTAAAATGATTTTATAAACTTTAATTTGTGGAAATTTGCTTAAGTCATTTTATAGAGCGACAATAGATCTTCAAACTGAAGCTGATTAACTCCCGGGACCTAATGCATTTCCCCTCAGATCTTTGACAAAGTATCTGGTAGGGTGAGCAGGGCTGTCAACAAACCTGCTCTGCTGAATCTGTTCCACTGCAGGGCAAGCCACAGATATCAATCACAGTTTCTCTGTGAAAGATACAAACGCTGTAGCTGTGTCCCGAAAATGTCAGAATCTAGAACAACATCTTTATGACAAAGTCCCATTTCACAGGCTATTCCAATTGCAGCAGTTGAGTTTCTGTCAAGTTGTCCTGAGAAGAGGAGCAGGGTCAGTCTGGTCTTTAGGTCATCTGAGACAATACAGGCGCTTCCCTGTTGGCTTCACTCTCCTGACCTGGATTCTATGTCCATTTTATATTCAGTCTATGTATTCATCATATTTGCATTACCTTACAAATATATGGCAGATGACACTGATGCACTAATTCTTTGAAGATTTTAGCTCCTCTACATTTTCATTTTAATTAAATTGAGACATCAATATTGATAAAAGGGCAGATATTATGATTGTCAACTGTGCACAGTGTCTTGCCAGTATCTCTGCTAACAAGTAGCACATTTCTAAAATTATTCTCATTAAGAATGTGGCTTATGTGACACAGATATGTAAATAACCCAACTTCTACTGTATTCTCTTTGGGTTTGTTTTTACACTGTAACATTGATATTGGTGCTTGTTCTGGCATTGCCAAAAGTCCAGTGTCCGCCAGGCTCTAGTGTACACATTCACAGTTTTAGAAACCATGAAGCTCATTTATGGAGGTTTGTATTTATTTGTTCAGAGCCAAGTCTATGGCCATAGTGACAGATCTCAGACTGTTATCATAGATGTTGGCATTACTTTAACAACTCAAAGCCTACCTATTGACAATTGTTTACATGCAGCTGGAAGTTGTGAACATGCGCAGCCAAACTTGTTCACTGTCCATTTAAAGAGCTGAAGTGATGAATGAATGTGAAGTCCGTTTAACTGTCATCACTTCACAAGAGATTACACATACTTTCCAACTCTGTCATGCACCAAATCTCTGTGCTTTTCCCTGGTGTGGTGGATGCAGTCAGTATCTCTACGGCTTTCTACACTGTCACCTGCTAAATATTTTTATTCCCAGTTTATCGTAGAGGAGACACCTCCTCACTCAGATTTCATGCTTTAAAAGCTCTCCGCTAATATCATGTCTGCTGTAGAACTCTCTGGTAAATCATTCTGAAAAAGGAAGCAGAAAGAAACATACTGTAAGATGTGTTTTGTGTGTTTGAGGAAGACGTATGCATGCCATTACATGAGGTGCTTTCGTGACAGTGAGTGTGAGGCCTATTTGTATAATCTCAAGAGGCTGATGGCTGGAAGCTGTGATTTGTTCGTGTATCGCCGGCTTTGTTTGTAGGTGCGTTTTCATTTATCCCTCCATGGGAATTCAGCCCGTGTAAATCCCTGACCATAGGGCCTCTCTGATGGTACAAAGGCCCATGGATTAAGCAGGCAGCCTGTGGCGGAGCCCGGTCAACGGAGGGAGAATGGGGTCACATCGACCTTACAAAGACAACTTTAATTTCGAACACGTGCCTCTGTTTGCCAAGGTCATCGTTAGTGTCGCCGTGGCAGCATTGTGTTCCTAGTAGTTGTGGAAACCCTGCGTGTGTGTAAACTTCAGCCCTCACTGTCCCTTGGCTCATCGCTGTGGGAACACTTGACACACGGCCTCAAATCCCACCTCCCCTCCAAAGAAAACACCATCGGCTCATTCTGTCATGCGCTAAGTGTATCAGAGCACTTCACACACTCCTACTCATTGTCTCACACAGGTTGTCCTTGAATTCCTCAAGTTCCTCCTCCTGTTTCTGTACATGTTTTAGCTTGGAGTCCTGCCCGGCCCTCTCTGCCTTTGAATGAGCTGTCTATGTTTGGATCTGAAGGCTGAAATCAATCTGCTGTTTCCGCTAAGCAGCTGACACTTAGGCCCTTTTGTTTTTGCCCAGCAGAGTGGGGGATTTCACTGAGCCGCTGCGAAAAACTAGGACTAACCTTGCACAATTAAGTGTTCTGTCCTTCTCTCATCTTCCCCCCTTGTCATGTTTTGCCGCCGCCTACCTTTCCTCCCTCCTCTTCTTGATATTTCCTTTTTTCTTGCCTTAGCCAGCGAAGAGATAGTATTTCAACTCTGAGAAGAAAGGAAAAGATTAACAACAGCAAGTACAACCCTTGAGGCTAGACACACCTTCACATCACTTCGCCTCATTCGCTCCCTCCCCTCACTTCTCTCCGCCCCTACCTCTGCCTCTCCGCTAAAGACCTGTTGCAGTTACGCACAATAGATATGTTGCATAACACCAAAACAACATCTCCTGCAGAGTACAGAAAAGTTCATCCTTAATCTGTTTGTAAATTACAGACATAGAATACAGAAACACAGGAGGATAATGTACTTTGATGTACTAACAACTGGCATCTCCACCCAGTCTAATTCCACTGGGGAAAGTCCAGGTGCCGAGATGAGCCAACACTATTATATGCTGCTCCAATCACGAGCAGCTCTGCCACTGGCACTCTTGGGTTTACATACTTCTCAGTAAACACTGCCAGAATTGCCACATGCTGAATAATGTGACAGCGAGCCAATCAGAGGGAAGTAGAAATATGTCTTGCGGTAGCATGAAGTTGAGCAATCTGTCCCACAGTCCACACCTGGGAAATGTTCAATATCAATTATGATTACTGTTACTCTGTGGAATTCTGCCCTTGTCCATATTCTCATCTCAACAATGCTAAGATTTATTGCTTCTAACCACATCAGCATATAGCAACATGCTGGTGGGTTACTGACTGGTTAGCATAACTGCTCAAGTAAGATTAAAGCTAGCTGCACTCATTACGTACCACAGCCTTGGAGGTTCTGTTTTCACCCCTGTCCTTTTGTTTGTTGGTTTTCATGGGTTTTGTTTTTTTTCAAATTTTTGTTGTAAGCAAGATTACACAAAACAACTTTGTGGTAGGATGTGGTATGTGTCAGAGAAGAACCCATAACATTTTGGTGCTGATACTCAGATCATGGGGTGGATCCAACACTGTGAGAAGGGACCTTTTTCAACAATTTTCAACAATTTTTTGGCATAATAATTCATGGAATTTAATGCAAACATCTAGGGAACTAATATTCATGGGTGTGTGAAATGTGGTGCAGCTTGTTGGAATTTAAAGGGCCTGTTGGGTAGCAGTGGATCATTATACACTTTCAGTGCATTACGGGTGACTTCAAGGAATAAAGAGTGTACAGTTGGAACAGAATATTGCATAAAGCTGCTACTAAAGGTTTTCTATTAGCAATCGATCTGCAGGATGATTTGCTCAAGTTATCAAAAAACCAGAATAAAGTATTTTCTGCACAACATTCTGGTAACAGAGTAAAGAGATGGAACAGTTGGCATTATCTGTTTTTAACTCTGTAAATTCATTAACAGTTAGAAAGTTGTCAACTAATTTTCTGTTGATCCGTGGATAATTTTAATAGTTTTCATTTATGGTATTGAAATACTGCAATATAAACCAGAGTCTACATCTATTCCAGCACCTGTGTATAAAGCTAAATGCTGATGTCAGCGTGCGGAGATGCCTCAAAATTAAAATGCTAATCTGCCAGTGCCTCAGAGGTAATGTTTACCATGTTTGCCCTCTTAGTTTAGCATATTAGTATTTTAACATTTGCTTATTAAAACCAATCAAAATGCATGGCTCAGACTGGATGTCATTAGTTTTGTCGAACCAAACTGTTGGACTAAGTGATAGTTTGACCTGATGATGGCACTATATAGAAAGTGTAAATTTTTCCATTTTATTCTGAGAAGCAACATGGATCCAATTGTTGTAAAACACATTTCACTCAAGGCCAAAAATGTGGTGGTACAAGAGGAAAAGCCAGAGAGTTCAGATGGGACTGTACGTCCTGTGAATGTCTCCTCAGTCTGGACAGTGTTAAATCAAACAAATGGTCCCCTAGCTGTTAAAAATGAAATCTTGATAATGAAATGATGTGTTCCACTCAGATTTACTTGAATTGTATTATGTAGCTGGATTGTGGAACAACTGGATACTGTATGAGGGGAGCTCAAATTAGATTGAAATGCAGTAGCCAAGTGTCCTGGCTCTATTTGCTCTCAGCAGATATTTAGTCACCGGTGATGGATTTACTCAAAGCCTTTACATCCAACAGTCTGTTTTGATTGGAAGCCAGGCAGTACAACTGCAGGCAGATAGCATCTCTGCTCTTATGATGTTGTTGAGCTCTGCTCTCATCGAGCGCCAACCAGCAGCAGAGTGGTTGCACCCTGCACTACCTTAAGAACATAAACATGGATCTTTTTAGTTACAGTTCCTTGCAATTCATATGCCTTTGCTTGCTTTGCAGAGCATATAGGGTACTTAAAAGTGATGTGGCTGGTAATTGTCTTGTCACTGTTCATTTTCCACACCACCCACATGAATGGGGGTTTGCACAAAGATATTTGTATGCTGTATCATCCAATTACAGCCCCCTCAATCATCTGTGTGGTTTTCTTTATTTTCTTATGTAGATTGGTTCACCCACCAGATAGAACATTGTCAACTGAAGTAAAATCACGATTTCTTACTTGACAGAATGAAAGACAAAAATTTGTGTGAGCATGCTGTGCCTGTTCACTATCCATCCATCTACAGATCAATTTATCTTCTAATTCCAGAAATCTCTTTCTGACAGTGTCGAATTTGTTGCGATTTGGACATAGGACATGTTCAAGGGCTCAAAAGTTGTCAACTTGGGTCTGAAGATTGTATCGATTTCTTAACAGACCTAAAATACGTCGACATGCAATCTATGAAAAAATAACAGCAGTTAAGTAAATCATTCAACTTGTATATTAAAGCCACACATTAAAACTAATAAAGCAAATTATTTTGCATTTAATGTAAAACCTTGACCCAAAAATCTTAATTGCAGATAAACCAGGTGAGATGAACACAAAGTTTTCTATCTTCTCTCTGCACCATATACTGTATATAAAAATATCTTCACACTACACTAAGCCCACAAACAATAAAAATGAAATTTGTAGAACTGTTTAAGGAGGACTTACTAATGACAAAAAAATAATTCATAAGTAGCTCCAGAGAATTACCCCAAGCCAAGGTTTAGAACAGGCACTGCAAACACAAAAAAAGTTAGTGGCTACAGTAACCTACTTCCAAATCATGCCCTGTTAAAAAAATCCATTCACACATGCCAGACACCTCAGCACACACGCAAAGTTGCAGATTCCATCTACCATCAGCACCACCACCATGTCAGATGACCTCTGTAGAGGCTGATCCTTTAAATAAAAGGGTGTTTATGTCACTCGGTGGTGTTTGACAAAGTACCAGCAGGATTAAAGCAGCCTTGCGGTGAAAAGACTTTGATCAACTCTCTCCTCTCCAAACCCTCAGCGTCATGCTGACTTACAGATTCCAAAGCTGAAGTCACTCTTGTTTCCCCCTCCACCTGTTCAAGTCAGTGTATTAATTAGAGAGTGAGATAAAAGGTGAAGCAGCTTATCTCTGCTGATGTTGTCTATCGAGGCGTCTCTCTAAGCAATCACTGTTGTGACTCTTTTTTCAGTCCCCCTTAGGTTGACTCATTGTTAGTGAACCAGCTGGTGCCAAATTTCACTGCCCGACTACCTTCATTAAAAAATATATATATATATATATATATATATAATAACTTCATTAATATTTATATTAATGCCAATTTGTCAGCAAGGCTCAAAATGTTGAATTCTTCCAGTCTGATCTAATGTTTTCAACAACGTGTTTTTTTTTCATCAAGATTTATGAATTATTAATTGGGAAATTCCCTTTGTTGAAGAAAGTGGAAGTTTCAATGAAATTAGTTCAGGAGTTGTTGCATACTTCCACAAAAAGACAGACAAATAGCAATGAAAACATGCCCTTTTTGGCTGAGGTGACAATAAGTTTGTCTGCATTATAAAGATGTGGCACAAAGAGGACTGAAGTGATCTTGTCAGGCAAGGTCAAAGATTCGTATTTGTGAACCAGCTGGGCAGCGGAGCCTTTGTACAAGACACTCGATCCCAAACACATGGTGGTCCATGTCCTTAAAAGCTTTACAGCTGTTCCAAACTGTTCCAAATAACGGGGAGCCATGTATTGTGCTTTATTCATTTAAACACATGAACCCCTTTTTGACAAAGGTGAACCTGGTAGCCAGTGCTGGTTTGGAGCTGGTTCCACTTCCAAATCTTTTTAGAACCAGTCTGCTTTTAACTTGAGCTCCAGCCACCATCGAGCCACGTCATTACATCACAGGGGCCACATCTTTCAGAGGCTCCATTTGAAGACAGATTATATCCGTCCTTCTACTCCTGAGCAACGGAGGCTCCACCAGGTGGATCTTTTCCGGCCCAACTTATCCCAGGATTCATTGCGCATCAGTGTCTGTTTTTTGAAGAGGCAGCAGCAAGTGAAGAAAAAATGTCTGGAAGAATTCATTTATAAATTTAAGTATCTGCTTCAAATCAACCGAACAGCTAATGGTACACGTTTTTCAGCATTCTAAATGAACCAAGTAAGTGTCCGTAGTTCAGTTGCTCAGCGACTGCTGTAAGGTCGGACGAATGATGCTGCTGGTTTGAGAAACATCGTATATGTCTCTGATGCAACACTGGCAGAAGCACAATGTCAACAATGGCAGACTTCATTGAGAACAAGCAGAAAGTTTGTCTCCTCCATGGACTACTGGTTCTGTGCTGCGGCATCCATCATAAAAAAGGGTTATTCTCTTTTGCTGACTAAACACGACACAATTGGTCACAATATTTTAGTTTGTCTTATTGGTCCTGTTGGTCGCTAATCCAGCCTCCAGCCTCTGATTTAAGCAATTCTTCCTTCGGGACCAGAGAAGTGTTGGTGCCAGAGTCTAATGAGTCAGTTCTTTGACTGTCGCAGCACTAGGAACAAGGTTGAGATACGGCACTAGCTCCGAGGGAAAGGGGGCAATACAGTCACATTAGTGATTGTATGAAGAATATATAAAGACAAAGTGGACCTCACTTCCAACTGTTTTCAAGGTTTCACAACAAAACCCAACCAATTCTTATATTGGAAAAGTGTGGGCAGGGGGATTTAAGACCACCAATGGAATATAACAGCCTTGCTCCCTGCCAGAATAAATAAAAGCAAATAACCTCTGACCGTGATAAATAACCCACTCTGAGTTTCTGTTGATAATTACAGCCTAAAGTTAATCTTTGTTTATTTTTTTTATATAAAAGAACTTCAATCAACATATTACTAATGAACAGGTTGCTCTATTGTCTAACTTGTTTTACTTATTTTCACTTTCTTTTAGTTGTTTTCTCTTCTTCCTTTAATTCAAGTGCTGTTTATTTATTTTTTGTGGGGCAACAGATAGAGTATGTAAAAACTACAAATGATGGGCCTAACTAAAACCTACAGCCACCTTATCAACAACACTGTGCTCTGTGTGCAGGTATGCCATCATGTGTGGAATTATGACAGAATATGACACTGTGCAGAACAAGATAAAGAATGGATACATCTTCAAGGTACGTTCTTGTCAAACACCGACAGTTTTTTAGTCGTATGTTGTGTCTTGGACTGCACATTCTGTTTCTTGTTGTGACTGTTAAATGAAATGCATGTTCATACTGTGTATATATACTTGCTCCTCCCATGTACTTAGAGTAGAGGGGAATAGTTACTCATGTCACTTAAGCCACTCCTTTGGCCATTCAGTTGCATAAGATGTGTGTGGAACACAGCACGTAGCATTTTATCTTCTGTCAGCAGCTTCCCCTAAACACTGTGTACATGCAAACTCTTGACAGGTGAAAGAGAAGGAGATAGAAGCTGAAAAGGGAAATGTGTGTGTGTGTGTGTGT